ATATATATATATTAGGTAGTATATATACGTATCATGTACATCGACGACGAGTTGATTGAGAGGCTGCGGTAGAAGGAATAGAAATATAGAAAAAGGATATTTTAGAAGAACTTTTTGATTTTGATTGACATTTACGTAATGTGACATGAAACACCACATCGCTATTGGAAACAGGTAAAAAATTTAAATAGTGAAGGATTCTTGTGAAAATCACCATTCCCAACATCTATTGGTCATATTAGACGCGTTTTTAGGGTGCAATACATTGAAACGGGCGGGTTCATCTAACAGGATGTTCATCTGACAACGGCAAAGATTAGGGTGATTAAAATGAACAACAGTTTATTGAATTTAGTTAGTGTTTCGACAGCCAGATTTTCGTTCCCGTGTTGCATTGCGGCAGGTTTTTCGCCATTTAGGACGTGGACAGTGATGCTTGCTGCATCGCTGCTCGAAGGGGCACAGGTGTAGTTCCCACTGTCGCTTGGTAGGGCTCGGGAAATTAAAAGTCGACTAGTGCGGGTCTGTTTCTCGGTGACAACGCTAATTCCTCCCCGTTGTGAATAGTTGATCACCTGGTTACCCTTAAACCAGTAGATAAAGCTCGGCGGAGTCGGCGTTTGCAGGACGATGCAAGTCAAGTTTATATCGCTGCCACTTTTTATAAATAATTCCGGATTCCCCAGGATTTTCGCCTTTGATACTGAAACAAGAAAATGTCGTAATGTAATGTAACTATAGGTAGTACCTGCGATGGTTATTTCTAACGGTTTTGTACTTGAATGGCGTAGAATTCAATTCATTAGTGTAAAAGCTCCCTGTACATCGCGAACGATTTCTTAAAATATATTTTTAGACGCTAATAAAAACCACACTAATGCACTTGAAATGATTGATTATTACCTAAAGAGATAAGAAGAATAGCGTTCTACTAAAAAGATCCATTTGCGGAAAGTAAAAAAGTCTAAAAAGAAATTTAGAACTGGCGATTCTATTGAAAATCGGAAAAGTCCGGCAGCTCAGCGAAAGTACTTGCCAACATTCATCAAACTGAAAATTTCAATACTTTTTACGGCACAACTTAATATTGGGTAGATATTTTAACGTAAACACGTAAAGAATAAATTCGGATAGATAAACAACTATTCCTGTAGGCACACCATGCTATTGCAATCATTTTGTAGTAGTTTATCGGTAAAAATCTGAAAAATCTGGCACCCAAGACGAAACGTCAATGTTGTTTATTATAATTATGTATTGGATAGACGAAATAATATCCGTTAAGTCCGTATGTTATATAGGAAGCAATTAAAATTTCCAAATTGAGTCCGTATCGTGGAGAGCTGGGACTTAAATTAGCACTAAGGAAAGACAGTAAATTAAAGTGACTTAAAACCGGTGAAAAGGCCGAGGTAAAATTAAATTTTCGCGAAATTGCTAAAAAGGGTGGATGATGTACCTACTTTTACTCTAATAGTTTGAAACTTGAAACATGAGAAAGAAGAGAGGTAATTGAAAAAAGATTAATTAAGGACGTGTGCTTGAGACGACGATGAATTTTACTGAAAAATTTTCCGTGCGTAATTCTATTTGGTACACGTACAATGCATAAATTTTTCGACTCTACATAATAATATATGTCGTAGTTTTAGCTAAACTTGGCCACTTCTAAGCTGTCTTTTATTATTTTTCTAAACCTTTTTGTAATTCAAGTTGTACGGAAGAAATTTTAAGAAGTACGACACTCTGTCATCTGCAGATAATACGAGCGTAGCCACTGAAAACGTGTCAAGTGTTTTAAACAGCATAGGTACACATCGTTTTAACATTTTCAGTTCATACCGGGAAAATATATCTGGAATACGTGTCCTTTTCCTCATGTAATAATCAATTAACTAAATGCACAACACTAGTAAAATATCTAACCCATCCAACGCATTAGGTAAACGTTAACTCTGGTACAAAGCCGGAGGGTAGAGCGGAAAACCGTTTTCAGTCTCATTTTGGGTACAGTGGGACCTTACAAAAAACAGTCCAGCATCAGCTAGTTAGGATTGCTTACGGGTTAATTAAGTGTAGGGAGATTGAAATATAGGGGAATTCACTCTTACACATTACTCATAAATTTGATATGCAAAATCAATATCATAAAGATGAGCATATTGTGTCTGTATATATTAGGTTTATGGCGGATTACTGGAAAGCAAGCGAAGTGGAGGTATAAATTAATGTTTGCGTTTACATTTCGAGTCGGCACTTCAACTCTTCAACTTGTAACATTGTATCTGTGTGTTATTTTGCAGATATCAAGATACAAATAGGAAACGGTCGCGCAGTTGCATATAAATAGCGTCGGCTTTTACTTAAATGTCCTGGTACAAGTTTTAGGAAAAATCGTATTTGAATGGAAATCCTTTGGGCTAGTGTAAAAATTTTATGCGCTCCGAAACTATTGCTATCCATTTCATTTACATAATCTTAACGAGCGCTTTTTTATGTTTAGACGGGCTAATTTAAAATCGCATTTGAAATTCGGAGGTACTATTACACTATAAGTATTTTTCTACCTAACTTTTATATTCCAGTAGGTAATTTTCATCTTATCGTAATTTAACGAGCGTTTTTTAGGGCTAATTATAACTAATTCATTTCAAAACGCACACAAAATCGAAAGACACCATTAAATTCTACGTCCTTTTTTACACGATTGCCCATTTTCTATAGCTCATCCCATCGAAATTTAAGAAGCGCTTTTTTATGTACACACTGTTTTCCCTATTTTAACGATAAATAATTAAGTAGCGGACTTATTTGAAAACGCACTTGAAATCTGAAGGTACCATTGGATTCTACGTGTCTTTCTACATTATTGTCATATTTTAAAGTTCTGTAGGTAGTTTCCATCTCATCGAAATTTAACGAGCGCTTTTTTATGTACACACTGTTTTCCCTATTTTAACGATAAATAATTGAGTAGCGGACTTATTTGAAAACGCACTTGAAATCTGAAGGTACCATTGGATTCTACGTGCTTTTCTACATTATTGTCATATTTTAAAGTTCTATAGTAGTTTCGATCTCATCGAAATTTAACGAGCGCTTTTTTATGTACACACTGTTTTCCCTATTTTAATGATAAATAATTGAGTAGCGGACTTATATGAAAACGCACTTAAAATCTGAAGGTACCATTGGATTCTACGTGCTTTTCTACATTATTGTCATATTTTAAAGTTCTGTAGGTAGTTTCCATCTCATTGAAATTCAACGAGCGCTTTTTTATGTACACACTGTTTTCCCTATTTTAATGATAAATAATTGAGTAGCGGACTCTGAAATCGCACTTAAATTGGTGAAACACCCGGTATATGTGAATGTTTAAGGTTTTAGGTTATCTTATTTTTTTATTGAAATTCCGTCCACTGAGCTTGTTAAGGAACTAGAGAGAAGACAATCAAGTGAGCACAGTGTGTAGTTTAGATGTCGCACAAGACCTTTGAGAACTTTTAGAGTCACATTTTTCGACTAACCCACATAGTTGGACTTGGAGGTTTCTCTTTGCTTGCAATAATTTGTTCAACGAAATGGCCTTTGCTCTAACTTGTTAAAGATGCCGAGCCTTAGTGGGTTGTTAAGTAGAATCGTAGCTTTCTTGTAACGTAAGGTATTATCATCTAAGGCATTGCCGACTTGCAACGAAATGAATTTCAAATGCCTTTTTCTTCTTTTCACTTTGAAAGAAAGATTTAAAGAACACAGATTCCTTTTTAACACACTTTTAATGGACGTGTAGGTGGTTACCCCTCACATGGTTAGTCTTTACAATCTCATGCCATTTGTAGCAATTACATTCGATTTTATTCTTCTACTTCTCCAACAACATACAGGATGTTGTTCATACTCAATTCTAATAACGTTTTCAAATGGTATTGTTTTCTTGAGGGTATATATTTCGTTTTGGAATATCTAATTATTAATATTTAATATTCTTCTTTTTCTTTGTCGAGCAGCTGCGTGTGGAATATTAATAAGAGTTGCTTTGTTCGCGAAGGATTTCTGTTATGAGAGTAACGAAATATTTTCATAATTGCCGGGAGAAAATTAGATTTAATTTGTTAATGGATTTTTCAGAAAATTTTCTCAAAGCATAACAAATTGATCCAGAAATGTTGACGGAGATCAAAGAAATGAACATCTCTTTCAAAGATACACTTCTCTTTGTTCTTTGTCAAGAGAACAATCATTCGAAGCGATAAATTTAAGCTCAAGAAAATGTGAATGGAACAATTGAAAATCACCTTGATGTCTGAAAATGCCAACAGGATCATTATTTTATTACGAAAAAAAAAACAGCAATTTTTTCATTCCATTCAAATACAAACGGCCAAACAAAAACACACAGATTAATTTAACGATAAAAATTTGTTATTCAACATGTTCGTTAAAATCTATTTCAATCCCAGTTCGCTTCTGAAGTCTTTTGTTTTTGAAATTTATTTCACTTGAAAAGTTTTAATTGTGGTTTAAGAATTTTAATTATTAAATTACGATTTTTCTACCTGTTTAAAAGTTTGTGCCTCAATCAGATCCACTTTATCGTTGAATAAATGATAATTTCGATTAGGTTCGGATCATAAATGTAACGCCTTAGAACAATTGGGCGTCATTAGACGAGACAGGGCTGCCCTGTGTCATTCAAATGGGGTATCCACATTAGGGTCAGATCAGATGAAATAATTTTGTCAATTGCTGTGTGCAAAATCGTAGTTAGCGCAGTTTGCCCTTTAATTGTCTAGTGAAACTCCCTTCGGTGCTGCAAAATGAACTTTAGGCCAACTCTGTCTCAATTGTCGACTGAAGGCAGATTTCCTTTTACGACCCTTTGCTCGTGTAAGATGAGCAAAAACACGTGTACAAGTATGGCTGCTATTGAAATTTAATTTAGCGTAACCTTAGAAATCGTAAAAGATTACTTTTATTTGCTTGAGTCAACGAAAAAAATCTTTTCTCCTTTCTCGAATTTAACTTGAAATGAAACTTTTGTACTAACATTATTGAGAAAAACTGAAAAACTAGGTACATATTTTAACATCTACAAGTTGACGTGGAAAATTTGAATTAGTTCTAATGTCTGTACATGAAAAAGTTTGATTTTTTGTAAGATTATTTCAATGTATTAGTGAATTAATTTTTTTTGATTCGATTCCCGGCAAGGGAGTGACAGTGGCAACAATTTTTCGTTATTAATTTTGGGTTATTTGTAGTGGGTAAAATTAATTTACTAATACTATACGTTTTTATTTAAACTGTATTTGTAATACTATTAAATCTTTCGAATCGTCTGAAGCTGTTGTGATTCAGACAAAATTTCCTTTAAAATTCCATTAGGATTTATTTAGTCTTTTGGAGAATTACCGTGTCATTTAGATAGTCGTTAGTTTGAAAAATTGAAGGTAGGTACTTTAGGTCCAAATAGAAAAGTTTCGACTAGTTTGCGAGCAATTCAGTAGGTATAGGCGTGAAAGAAGAATGCCTTCGGGTGGTGCAATTTTAATCAGGGTCCATTTGTTCGCCTTTTCAATATTTTCTGATAAGATTAGCTAATTTAACAGGAAATTGCAGAAGAAACAAAAGAACCTTTTTTCAAGTAGTTAGTTATAAACTCTAGTTACTATGCATTTCGTGCGTCAAACTGCTCTTGGAACACAGCAAAATCAATATTGCCAATTAAGAACAGGGAAATAAAAAATTCTATTTCATTGAGCGCTTTTTATTTTTGCACGAAACTTATACATATACAATTGGGTTAATTATTTTAATTTACTGGAACTAATCTTTGAACGTATTCGAATAAGCTTTTACCGTAGTACCTAAACGTAATCTTATGCATACGGGAACTCCTAAACCTTCAGCAATTATTTTAATAAAGAATGAATTGGGCCAATAATAATAGCCACTTATTTCGAAAGAAACAATTTTTATTTTAAGCCCTAATACGCTTCGGTCACGCTGTTCTTTTATTAATTAACAAGCCCGTCGTGTAAACAATTTAGGATGAGGTCTATGCGTACTGTGTTCTTGAACCCTATAGTTGAGGTCGTATATGAAAAACAGAAATATTGTGAAAATTTTAATCGCATAGTCAATAAAATTAAAGTAAATTTTATTCAGTTCGTGGTTTTCTAGAAACAACTTTTAATATTAATCATCAGGGATTTTATTGGTTTTCCAAACAACAACAGTAAGTGTTTGTAAAAAACCTTTTTATCATTTGTAAATTTGCTGGACAAATATTTGATTGCCGTTTGATTTGAACACTGGAATTTTATTAATAAATTTAATTGTCGAATTCCGATTTAGTCCAATGATGTTGTTATTTTAAATTGATTAGTATTGGGTTGTTTGTTAGTTTGTTCAGCACTGCGGTAGTTTATTTCTAAAACGTTTTACATGTAGTATTTATCGTATCGAACAATAGTAACAATTTAAATTAAACTAATTGTGTTTTTGCACATTTTTGAGCTCTTGTGCTAGTTTGTATTAGATGTAAGTTACAATAAAACTGTTTGAAGTGATAACTTTCGTCGAAACTTTGCTGTATGAGAAATGGGTGAAAATTCAATATTTTCGCAAAAGGGAAGGGTGGAAACTACTACTGCTTTAGTTTGTATGGGAGCCATATATCAGTAGGAAGTTATGAATTATGATTTCCCGAAAATCTATGCCCTACGTAGACTCTTAGACTGTTATAGGTTAAGGGAGTTCGAAAGTAGCTATCTCTTATGTTGGGGATGATCATGGAGAAGAACAGACCCTCCTGATTGCTGCAATAAATTCCAAAAGGAATAAACGAAGGGCACCTGTATGAAGGTCATAAGTTGCGACCGTTTTATACATTGCACGTCGCATAGTTGGTATTGTTTTCACCGGGATTTCTACCTATGTATGTAAATTATGTAACAGAGCGAGGGTGTTATTGTTCGCCTTAAATGCATAGTTCTAGAGTTTAATTAATGGAATAAAAAGACTTTCTTTAAAGTACAACATGGCGAAAGTAATCAATTCCTTTCTTTTGCTTAAATACTACTACTAGATATCAGATATTGTGAAAAACTTAATTTAATTTTTGAAATGTCGCTTACTTACCGACAACATTGAGTCGAAATGCTTGTGATATTTTGGGCTCGGTGCTGACTTGACATTCGTATATGCCGGAATCCCGAAACTGGGCCTTTCTTATAGTCAAAGTCCACTCGTCAGATCCATCGGGGTGTAAAGCTTGAAACCTTTGATCATTTGTATAGGTCAAAATGCCTACGGTTAGAATATGTAGATCTCGCTTTCGAATCCACGATACCTGAAAGCAAGCAAATGGCAACCTTTATTTCCCGTTAGTTTTAATTTCTTGTTCATTAACCACACAAATTGCCATACATGTATGTATATAGCACCGTAGCACTCCACTGGGCTCCGGTGCCACTTGCGTTTTTCCACGCGGAAATAAAAATACCGATTTAATTTCCTGAAAGTTAAGATAAAAATTATGAAAAATCATATTTTACGTCACTCGTAATTCTAACGTTATATTAGGTGCCTACACCGTATACAGGGAGCAACAGAAATAAGTGCCGAGCTTGCATTATGTGATAGCGCACTATAAAACATGGAAAGGTAAATTCAATTCCGGCCCTGGTAGAAAAATACGGCCCGCAACGCTGCACTCAATAAGCTGGTTATTACTAGCATCAGTGTAGTATTTGTTTTGTATTCTTTTGCTCATGTATGATAAAATTAAGTGTGATTGTTTATTGCATTTAGTTTATACCCTCCGAAGTTCAGCACTTATCTCTGTTACGCCTGTATTTTATCATTAAAGTAACACATACCGAAAACAAAGAAAAATATAACAGAATTTAACGATTTTGGATTATTCTTTCTATTTGGTGTTAAACTTATCTATCACATTAAGTGGGAGATGTGAACGTGAAATGATGCAATTATAAATTATTGTAGTGTAAAGTACTGTAGCTGCCGATATCGGCAAGTTTTATTCAGTACGAGGTATTGCTTTTAACATAAATAGGGTAGAGTTAGCAGTTGATTTTGATTATTATTATCATACGGTCGATGAAATAACTGCATTATACGCATTACGTATTACAACAATGTAGTTCCTATTGTGCATATATGTATACGGTCTGCAGGTCAATTTTCTGACCTCAATGGCCCACATTAATTTGTCCGGATCAAGTACAAGAGCGTGCTCAAAAAGATTCAAAATTGTGATAATTTTTTACTGCTATTCCAAAAATCATGATAGCATGAACTCATGATTATTGAAATTATATTCCTTATAGTCTTAGTAAAAGCCAAAAAGAAATTTGAACAAAATGTAATTGTGGTCATTTCCTTGTCGATGAAATTCAAAAAAGCGTTTGCTGTATTAGCAGATAAAATATTGAACGTGTATGTAGGGATGAAGTTTAAATACGAAAAGTTTTAATATAGGACACGTCTTTGAATTATTTCGCGTGAAAATAAAATGTATTAGCTCATTAGTATTCTGAATAGTGTGGAACAGTTACGTGTGTTAACACCGTCGCTAAAAGTTTGAGGCAAAATGTAAAAGTTTGTAGACTGCTCGTTGATGCAATGCTGCTATAGGTACTGTATAGTACCTCACTGTATTCCAATAAATGACATTCAATCATTCATCATCATACGGTTTCACCCCAAGATCGGTTGGATGTTCAGGCGTACGTTTAGAAAACAGTTAGCCACTGAGAACTGAGAGAAAATGTTCCGGTTTATTTGTGTTTTGAGAAATTCAATCAACATCGTGAGCATTTAATTTCTGAGGTAAGCTGATAAAAAAAAAATAAGGAAAGGAATATAAATTCGATAAGCGTGATGCATTCGAGTTGGTTCGAAATTTTTCAATTGGTTATCTTCGCTTCTGAATGATGGGCATTTTCAACAACCAACGAGAGAAAAATTAGACCTTTTTGAAATGAAAGACAATAAATCACCTCGCAAAAGATTTATTTGATAGCAACCGTTGGATTTAGATTGTCTTTTATCCATTCTCTGCAAACATGTACAACTTTATAAAAGAAAAATAGTTTTCTACTCAATCTGTCTAAATTACATTCCTTTCCAATATACATTTCAGTTGACTGCTATTTATTTTATTCATTTTTAAAAAAGTACATGTGCAAACAACACAAAACGTGTCAGAATAATTTGCCATCTACAGCGGAAAAAAGCCGTGGTGAAGGCAACTGATAATTTTCCAGGAATAACCCCATCCATCCAAGAAAATATATTTATACTATTTTTTATCCGCGGCTTCGCTCGTGTTGATGTCCGAAATACGTGTCAAAGATCATCTTGGACCACATAAAACTAACTTTTCTATCTCTCGGTAACAGCATCTGTTTTCTGGATAAAAGGTATCCTAGGTCTTTTTCTGTGCCCCTAACAATGTGTCTACAAAATGTCATGATAGGTTTTAGCCGCGGCTTCGTTCGTGTTGATGTCGAAATGCGTGTCAATGATCATCGACGACCACATAAAACTAACTTTTCTATCTCTCGGGAACAGCATCTGTATTCTGGATAAAAGGTATCCTAGGTCTTTTTCTGTGCCCCTAACAATGTGTCTACAAAATGTCATGATAGGTTTTAGCCGCGGCTTCGTTCGTGTTGATGTCGAAATGCGTGTCAATGATCATCGACGACCACATAAAACTAACTTTTCTATCTCTCGGGAACAGCATCTGTTTTCTGGATAAAAGGTATCCTGTGTATCCGTTTCTGTGCCCCTGACAATATATGTACAAAAACGTCAAATAGAAATAAATAAATCCACATTCGCATTTATAAAATTAGTTAAGATTATTTGCAGATTTCGATTATTATTGTATGTTAATTTGATATGGTGGCAGGTGCCATAAAGGGGTGGGTAAAGTAGTGGTAGATTAGGTAGTCGAGAGCTGTCTGATTGCAATCAAAACCAATTGTGGACATTGGGGCATTATTTAACAAGCTCATTAAGTTTCCAAACACCATTCGCGCTACATCAAGCCGCGCTCACGTAAAGCAAGGACCTGGACTTCTTTGGCATTTAGATTTTCTACTTTATACCCCTAAGATACGGTATTTCAGTCTTAAGAGAACTTTAACTGCTGCAAATCTATTCTAAGGTGACTAAATTCGAACTTCAGTGAACGTGCTTTAGAAGTTAGAGGAATAAAAATATTATCTAAAGCAGTGGAGTACTGTGCCTTTAAAAATACCCCCTTTTGGGGTCGAAATAAAAAGATTTTACAAAAACTACAAGCAGGCTCTATAATTGTACTAAATTTCAAATCGATAAGATTAGTAGTTATTGAAATGATCATACGTGACATATAGACAGACCAAGTTTTTTAAAAAGCAAACATTATTACCGTTTTCTGCTCTAAAAAGGCATCAAATCAAGAAGCAAATTAAATATCTTTACATCTTATAATGTACTTTAAATGTTGCTTCTGTGATCCAAGTTGCCTTTGCCAAAGTTGTGGTCAGGTGGTAGTAGCTGCACGAAGTCAGAAAGCCGAGTTATATCGAACCGAACATGTACAATAAGTAATCGCGGAATGTAGTAGTTAATAGTGTACAAAAACTGACAAAAAGTGTGAATTACATTCAGGAAAGGTGTTTATTTGTTTGTTAAGTATTGCAATTGTTAAAATCGTCGAATAAATCATAAATATGAGTATTAGTCATAATTGACGTTGGTTTTCGTGCGATGGCGTGTGCAGGAAGCCACATTGCATGTAATCTTTGCGCATGTACGAAACTTATCTGGTCTTGTTTGTCAAAGAAATATTTACTGTTTCCTTATTTAAAGTACTTTACAGCATTAAATTTGTTAATTTATTTACGATAAAATTTAAATTAATACGTGTTCGGGAATCGCGTTTTCGCGAGTGCTATTCTCTGCAGTCTTGACATTGCTGTTATATTGTAAGTTTTTGTTTAATTTATTATTTTATAAATATTAATAT